CCTCTCAGTGTCGCTATCGGCTTAGCTCCGCGCCACATAAAAGTCGTTAGTGCGAAATTATTGATAAAAGTGGTCGTCACATACACCGTGCCATTGCTTCTCACCTGCTTTGCTATAAATTGCCAAAATAGTAAGTTGTTTTGGAGCTTGCACTTGCCGCCAGACTTTCTATCCACAATATTGGGCTGTTGACATGAATAAACTGCTTGCAGTTCCATATTTAATAAAAAAGCGGCATGAAATGCTCGTGACTTGCACGTGAAGGTTTCGGCGACTCCTAGTGAACGCAATACCGCGACTAGGGGAAAACTACAATTTCTTCATAAACTTGTTGTCTTTTCGGAGTGTATGAGATTTCAGATGTTAAACTTTATGCATCATACTATTCCATTTTTTTTTCTCTGGATGAAGGAAGTTGCTAAGTTGGACTTCTCTTAATGCACTATTTTAAACCAAAAATGGATCTTACGTCCTTAGATGCTGAAACAATGTATACTGAAACCCGTTCGTCTCGTATTCGCGCTGCTATGTTCCCTGAAAGTGAAGCTGGTCCATCGAGTGGGATCCCTCATCGCGCTACGATCATTGAACAGGTTTTGAAAATTTTCTGATTGTTGTCTATTTGTATTGTCTAAGGAATTCTATTTTTAAGATGTCACTACCAGCTCGTGTTCTGAAAACGGCAGTACTCGATCTGCTTTCTTTTGAAGGGACATCTGATATTAGCCTACTCCCAATCCCGGATCTTGTTGACCTCATGTCAGATCGCGATGAGGTATTCATTATATTTACTGTTTTTTGGATATTCAAATGCTTATGCTTGAAATATCTTCTCAGGCGGTTTTGGCCCGTGCTGTACAACGTGTGTGTACCTTCTATCCAAAGAGGACCGTAGCATTGCTTCGTACCCTACATTGATTGATGCTTTGATTAAAGCCAGCAAGTGAGATCATTTCTTTTTTTGGGAGCGTAGGGATGGGTGAGGGATGGGTGAGGTTTGGTTGTTTTTTTCTCAATTTTTCATCGTCCTAAGAGCAAGACTGTAGCTGCCGATACTATGTCTGTTTTCCATTTCTGTTGTGATCAAAGGCTAGGGAAGAAAAAGAAATGAGGAAGAGAGAGAGAGAGAGAGAGAGAACTGAGAGCAGGGTTCCTTTTGAACTCATGCCCCTTTTTTCACCTGAATCTGAAGAAAAGATCCTCATGCAGATGCAGAACCTTTTCAGTAGTCTGTTTGGTCATATAATTGAAATACCTCTTCCAGGAGCGACAATGTGAACGTAAAACGTGATGCAATTGGAGCGCTGAGCCATATCTCTGAACATCCGCAAGGAAGAATGCAAATTTTCCGATCTGGTGGACTGGCTGAATTAATTCGGATGCTTTATTGCCCTGTTGAGGTACTTTGGATTCAACTACTCTACCTAATATCTTGGGTTACTGGGCGATTAGCCACCAGCCATTCTCCCTTTGCAAGGGTACAGAGGTATCTTCTCATGGCATCTATTAGCCAAGCATTCCAAGGCAGGAAAATGATCAAGAGAGAAGGAAGGAAGGGGGAAAAAGGAAGGAGCAAGAGAAAAGGGAGGAGGGGAGATTTGCGGTTGTTAGACATTCCGCTCGGGGCGGAGTGGATGGCGGTTGACAGATATCTGAGACGAATATCTCGGAGTGCAAGGGATGGCAGGCGGAACGGTTACAAGTGTGATGGCACGTGGCCCGGTACGGGGGTCAGACCCCGTATCCGCTCCTGCTCAGGTCATCCAAGCCTTCTGGCCTCCTGAAACGGTGAATTATTACCAGATTGAGGGGGACAAAACCACTGACTCTTACATCGCCTAGCCCCCAGCAAGTCATTTTGTAGGCCAAAATGCCACTGCGATTCTGAGTGGAAGTAGAATGCATGTCGCATACCATCGAATGGTCGATTGACTTTTGGCTTTTCCCATCTTTTACCTGATTTCCCAGAATTTCCTCAATCTCCCACATTATTTGCTTTCCAGACGGTTGTGCAATATGCTGTTACAACGCTTCGTAATCTTCTAATGCATGTGGATACCGTCAAGGCGCAGGCACGTGTCCTAGGAGCAATAGAAGCTCTCGCGCCGTTGCTTCTCAGAAATAATTGGAAATTCTTGGCATTGGTTGCTGACAGTCTCTACTTTCTCCTGCTTGGTGAGAAGCATACAAGTTTTATTATATTTTCACTTGGTTGTGTGAGGTATAAACAATTCTTAATGGGGCTATTTTTGTTAAGCAAAGAGAGTTTTCCATTCAGTACACTTTTGTGAACGTTGTTTGAGAACAGGATGGGGTCCATTCTTTAATCCGACATTACTCACTTTATTTTTTTTACTTTCGTCTTTGCCCGAGTCAGAAGGGTGATAAGGAAGCTACGGGGTGAGTGAGCCAAACTCAAGTATAGTAATCCCATTTGTTTGAGGACATCCCATTTCTGCAGAGAAAACCTTTGGCTGTCTTCATAGTTTCCAACGGGAGACAGGAGAATCGAAGGAAATGAGGGTTTTTCGGGTGGATGGGAAGCGCAAGTACTTTTTTTCGTGGCGGGAGCATTTGAAAGACTCCTTGTACAAGACTGGGCTTTCCTAATAGTGGTAAGCACTTTTTTGCCGAAGCCTGCGGAGAGATCCAAGGCGGATGAGATAATTTCATATATAATGTCCGCATGGATCAGATTATCCTTGATTGAAGTCCTCTGAATATTCTGCGAATAGGGGAGTCGGAAAATCGGCTTTTTGAGAGTGTGCTTAAAAGAAGAGAGAATCGCGACCACGGTTGCTAGTAATTTGACATTTTGGTAGAGCGTTCTTTCAGAACGTTGATTCGCTCAGCCTCCTACTCTGCACTTCTGTCGCAAACTATGAGCGATTCGCTGAGTCTCCTACTCTGCACTTCTGTCGCAAACTATGAGCGCAGTACTTGATGCTCTCAAATGCGCTTCCCCCCCCCCCCCATAGCTAAGGGTGTGCGGGGAAACTGAGTCCTCTGTGCGTGTAGGTTTTTTTTCGAAATACTCTGCCGAAATGCACGCCTCAGTGAGGCAGAACCTAATTTTACTTTATTTATCAGGCTTACAAAGTGCACTCGTCAGAGTTACATTCGTAGTTTGCTGGCATAGAAATGAATAGAAAGTTGTTAGAAGGAATTAGTTTTCATTATCATCAGTTTCTTCATCAATCTTATCTATCTTATTTCAGACGATCCGCAGTCAAAAATCGTATTCTTGTCACTGGGAGGGCCACAAACATTGGTACACATCCTCAATAACTACTCACAATATCCAAAGCTAATGTATACTGTAATCCGATGCATAAGATCACTGTCGGTTTGCCAACAGAACAAGGCGGCACTAATCAGTCTAGGTTTGTTGGTTGTCTTGGCCTTCGAAATGACGGTATGAGATCACACTTTGTAGGATGCCTCCCTGCGTTGTACAAGGAAATGTGCACTGCGGCAGATGATCGTGTGCTGCTAGCAATTCTTGTTGCTTTGAGAAATTTGTCAGATGCAGCCACTAACGAGGACAACTTAGCGCC